GGTATTGCAGGCAGCAAGCAGCTCCCAGGTCTCTATGGGAATTGTATATGAAGATGTCCATGAGTATTTAATCCAAAAGTCATGGCAATGAAAAAGTGCAGGAAAAAGGGGGGGTTGGAGGGTTTATTGGAAACTCAATACATTGAAGATCTTAGAAAAGGTACAGCCAATTAGGTGAGCTCAAGTTTAATTCTGGTGGTTGCTAAGAGGAAGTCATTGTGCAACTCTTTTGCAAGAGCATTGAAACTGGTAGAACAAGATACACAGCATGTGGAAGTGAAACTAAAGATATTAAAGAACAGTTTGGGTTGTTGTTGGGTCTTCTTTAATTACCTTTTAAAGACACTCAACTTTTCTTTAAATAACAGCATGAAGAAGGCTTCATCTCTTAGAGGTATCAAATAATCCTCTGTCATGTGTAAGCACACTTATGAGAACAAGCCAGGCATGAATTTTCAGGAGACAAACCAAGCTGCATAGAAAAGACAGCATATGGGAGATGAGAGATGGAGAACAGGTTCTGTAACAAGGGCCCCTGTTCAAAGTGAGTCAGGAGAGGTCTCAGCAGCTAACTCACCAGGCATGTGTTGTACATCAACAAAGCCTTCTCTGTTGAATGAAAGGCTCCTTCATCTTTGCCTCTAACCTCCATTCCTTCCTCACCACAGCAGAGGGATTTGCTTTTCAGAGAAGGAATATCTGAGAACACACTAATTTCTTCTATGGATTCAGAAAACCACAGAAACAACTGGAGCCTACCCTAACCCTGGCTGTTCCCAGCAGGCCAGACCTTCCACTACAGCAGATGCAGGATGGGTTTTATGAAAACCCTGTAAGAAGTTGGTATCTCTGCTTAGGAGCTGACTAGTTCTTCCTGCTGGTAAAATCTCTGAGCTCTGAGTCTACCCTTCAGGAACTTTTCTCCAACGTGAGAATTGGCAAACAGTGAAATAAAAGACACAGTAATGGATTCTTTAGAGCTTTCCATAAATTCAGGCCACTCCTGTGCATGCTGCTGGTAAGCAAAGAGCTGCTGCCTGCAAATATCCAAGCCATCATGAATTATTCTTACTCAGGGGGACCAAGATCACTTGGGACATAACTGCTAGCCAGTTAACAAACAGAAGCTGTCACCACAGTTTCATTGAACTGGACAAAGAAGTAGATGAGACACGAGTCTTTCAGTCCTTCCCTCAGGTGTGGATGACAACTCCTATCAAGTTTTAGGTCTAAACCATAAAAGAAACTATCATTTCACACTTTTTTCTCCTAATTTCAGTACATCTTCATCTTCTTTTCACATTTCTCCTACCTCCCCCAGAGCAGCAGGAATATATATTTTAACCAAATATGAACATCCTTATACAAAACTTCTCTTTTCCTTATTCTTGCTTTCACACCTCCTCAAAAAGCTGGTCTGAACTCTGTATCTGCTTAGGCTATTCTCAGCACCTTACGTGGTTAGCTGAATGACCTCAAAGTGGTAAGATGAGGAAATCACATGTATTGCAAGCATTCAGCTTAGGAACCATCATGAGCCAAGTCATCTTCTCTTTCTTCCTTTGGGCTTCTTTGTTTCTGTCCAGCCTAGGCATCCTCATCTTTTCTGTTTTAAGAAGGATTAAGTGTCTTCTTAACTGTTCTCAGAAACCCTCCTGTAGAAATTCTAACAAAAATAAAAAGCGTGGGCCAGAAATTGTGGCATTTTCATGGGCCAAAATCTTGAGAACAAAAGCAAACTGTTATCTGAGATGATCTCTTCATATTGGGTTCCCCAGAAATCAGTCAAGAAAGACCGAACAAATAATTCCTCTTAGAAGTACTGTTGCTCTGTTTTCAAGATGATTCACTCTCTGTTAGCATAGAAGTGATGTATTGAAAGTCTTTTAATCTGAAAAGTGGTTATCTCCCACCTTCCTCCAAAGTAAAAACCAAAGCTCATTCAATAAAGCTGATCGTATCAGGGGCCTTGACAATTAATTCTGTGATGAGCTATGCTCCAGCTGATGCTGATGTCATGGCTTTGATGAGAAGCTGTTTTCAGTAATCCATGCCTGGACATCTGAATCATTTCCAGAAATTATGCAGGAAATAAGATTATTACTTACCAAACAACTACAAAATGCATGGACATTATATTGAGTTATATTTAGGAAGCTTATAAACTAGAGCTTCCTAAAGGCCCATTACAGCTTTAGGGGCAAGGATCTCAAGAGGGAATTACAGACAGACAGGAAGCCCCAACTAAATGCCAATCACAGTGTTAGTCATGGAATACAGTGGTGCCAGGGTTGCCTGGAGAGATCACCTCAGCCTCTCCACATTCCCCAACGCAGGATCCATGAAAAACAAGAGTAGGACGGAGAACTTACAAACACCAGAAGCTTCCAGGCAAGGTAGCTGCAATTCATCATCACCATTCCAGGGCTTGGCAGGGTTTGAACACCACAACCATGAAGTGGCAGATACTAGACAAATTGTGCCTGTACCAGGTGCCATGCAGAGAGAGGGGCTGCATGGTCCTTAGCACTGCATTAGGCAGAAGACAAAAGCATTTTGTAGTTTCTAGCTGCATTTGGAAGATATTTTTGATTTATCAATGTGATATCCAGATGTTCTCCAATCCCAAAACATACACAATTGCTTAATTATAATGTCACAATAAAACATTCCTCAAATGTATCTAGTGCTTAGACACATATACTTTAAATCTCTGGATGTAAAGACAAAATAGCTGAAAGCAACAAGAACCAGATAGGTTTTAGAAGATTATTTTGCAAGAGGTATTGAGAGGTCATAGGAACAGTGGTCATAGGAACTTTGCTGCTTTTATTCATTTCTAGGTATGTTGACATCACAGGGAAAAAAATGGTTTTAAAGGAGAAGGAAAGAATTTTCATATCAGGGCTGGAAAAAAAAAGATAAAAATCCAAGGTCAAAAAAGACAACCTGATTTGTTTTTCTATTGCTACACCACCTCCCTTATTCAGGTTTCTAAATCTCAATGCAGCCACCTTCTTACTCCTGCCATTTGAGAACACATTTGAGCAGGAGGTATGAGGCTCAGCACTACTGGGGGCACACAAACTCAGCCTTAGGGAGGAAACACAACCAGCATGTCATGAAAGAGATACAAGCCAGTTCCTTCTGTACCACAACAGGCACAAAGCAAGCTCTTTAGCTCACTTGCCTGTGTTTGACACTTAGAGGAGAGGTATAGTCAGATCACATACATTTGGGCTGGATACAGCATGTAGAGCTTTATTTCTTTCACACATTTTTTTTCTCCAGTCTTGATATTTAAAGGGAGCCTTTCCTGAATTATCACAGTTGTGCATCTGGAAGAATATATCCATCTAGATCACATATTCATGCCAGGCAGTGCCCGAGTAGCCACTGATCACTCTGTACTACTTGCTATACAAATGTTTAACCAAGACTCTATCCATCCTAGAAGGCTTTCAACCCAAACATCAAATCCTAAAGATAGCACAGGCTTACTTACAGTCCTGAGACTTACAAACTTGGAAATCTGTTTTACTCCCAAAGCTATATTTTAGCACCTGCATACATGTGAGTGCAATTACATACAAATACACATAGATTGTATTCAAGTTTTATCACTGAAGGAGTGATTATACTTAATGAGTACACACACTCTCCCCAGTTTAGACCCTGGCCTGGTCAGTGCTTCCACACATCAGCTCCCTCCCATACACCCTGAATGCACTATTCAGGGTAAAAAAGCAGAGGTAGAATTCAGTGTTGGCGTAAAGGAAGGCTTTGACACAAGTAAACTGCTGGGGACAGAGGGAAGGCAAAAAGAGGATATTGCAGCTCAGGACACGGCCTTATCATGCACCCCTTTCTATTTGGAATATAAGGCTGCTCCTTAGTCCTAAGGTTACGTGCAACATCTCAGCTTCTCACATCCTTATTAGCAGCAGGTGCCAAGAACAAAGTACTCTGCTAAAGCTCCTGTACCAACAGCTATGATCCATCAGAGAATTAAATACCCTTTCCCTTGAGAAAGTTCCAAGCATCTTACGGAGCTTATTACAAAGCATCCTCCTTCAAGGTTGCTTATTAGCCCTTTTCTTCTCAAAGACCTGCTCACCCAGGGTTATTAACTTGAGATTTTTCCTTTGAGTATAAACAGGAAAATGTTTTGCTTATGACACCAGCTTTAGGAAGCTGCAAGACTAGCAAGCTATTACCTGGTACAGAACATGGACCAGTGCCATGTACAGAACATGAGGTGAGGAAGCATGAGAAAGCAGCATTTCCAATATTTCACTTCTGCCTGGTGGTACCAATAAATGTTCCTTTGTGACAGGTAGATGTGATTTGGGGCTCTTTTTCGGTCTAGAGATAAGCACTGGCTGATACAGCACAGTTGAAAGCATAAGCCAGTCTAGTACCATCTATTGTATAGATTTACCAAGTGTGCATTTTTTCATGTCTGCACATTCATGCTTACATATAGGATTCAGTCCTCACAGTTTAGACAGCTGCGATTCAATCACTGCAATCCAGCAAAGCAGACTTCCATGCAAGACTGAGCAGCTTCATCTCTTCAGAATTCATCCTACAGACATTTGCTACTGTTAGTTACAAAACTCAGTAGTAAACTATAGGATAAAATTTGGACTACTGCTTGCAGTTTGTCAGGTCTTGAAATATAATTTTAGATGAGGAAAATCAAACAAGACTAGGCAAACACCACCTCCTGTCTAACACTTACCAATGCCATTTAGATATAATCTGTAATAAACATTCACCAGTACATCAGCAGTGCCATAAACTTTTGGCAAGCTCTTCTTAGGGCTTGTCTCAATATAGACAAAAGCAACACAGAAGCCTTGCAGACAGGGTGGGGAGTGTGTATTAGCTACCATTTCACTGCTTTCTGCTTCTTTGCATTGCCCTTTCACTGGCAAGACTCCTATAGGTAGGAAGGGGAGTTCTTAACCAGTAAAGAACAGAATCAGAAACATGAAAATGATAAATATTGCTTTATTAAATTACTTTTATACTCCTACAAAGAATTTTTCTGATTTGTTACAGAATTGAATGAAGTTCATTGCTGTCTCTGCAGTTATCGAAATTTAGATACAAAAAGGTTGTAAAAAGACCAGCCTATTCAAGTTGTATAAAAAAAAAGGCAGAGAGTAGACAAGCTCCCTCAGGAATCTTGAGGCTCAGAAATATAAAGACCTATAATACAATGAAATTAAGAATTCAGCAATGTGTTGAACAATTGTAAACTGTAACTGCACTAGTGGACCACATTATTCAGCAGTTTCCTTAAAGGTATGAACTGTGAACTAAACAAAAAGTATAGCAGACACAGCAGACCTCATTTAGTTGTTCTCCCTTTCACTCCCTCCAAGTAAAAGTTGTGAGATCAGCATTTAAATTATAGGAAGGAAACTTGCCTCCATAAATATCAGGAATTTCTCCATTCTGTAACTATTTATATAAAGTAACTAGCTGTTACAAAGCAGTTTCAAGTAAAACAGGTGGCTGAGGCAAAAATAATCAAAATCAGATCATACACAATTTTACTGTAAATACAGTAATTTGAAAGATAAACACATAACCATAGCACTGACAGGATGTCAATGCTGCTCTATTATAGACATGATGTGTCAGTAGAAAATTAGGATGTCTTATTATCAAAATCGAGGACATTCATTCCAGTCTCTGGTAATCTTAGTGCAAAACAGATGCTAAGACATATTTAGCAAAAAAGGTGATACATTTAAGGCCAAAAAACTGTTCAGTCATCACTATCGCTTCCAGATTCACTCAGCTGCAAGTCATTTCCTAGAAGAGAGAGAGTAATTGCATTAGTCATTTCTAAAGAAATACTTTGATTCTTTCAAGATATTCCCTTTCCCAATTAAAGGGTTGCAAAAACTAATAGCAAATAGGTCAGGGAGGGGGAGAAGAGGGGTGGGCTAGATATCTTTAAAGGTCCCTTCTAACCCTATTCTATGATAAGAGAATAAATAGGTGTAGAAGCCAACTCCCCAGTGACAGAACCTTAGAGACATCCCTTTTCTTCCTGGGCAAGGAAGCCATTAGCTTGTTAGCTACAACTGCATTTATTTAATATCACCAGATCACAAAAGACAACACCTAGCTATCTTTGCCACCCACATTTTCATGCTTCGTAAGTGGGAAAACTGCTGGTGAATGCAGATTTGTGAAAAATGACTTGTTGGGGTTTTGTGTGAAACACATCTGAATGCAAGTCAGCTGTGCTTGAAAACAAATTATGTCTCAATCAAGACGAGCAGCTCTCTGACATACCATTAAAAGATGTATCAGTGACCTACTATTTCAAACAGGTTTTGGAACAAGTGAACAAACAAAACATCAAAAGACATTTTGCACAGCACTTTAATTTGGTGGCTATATATATTTCAAAACCGGGAAGTAAGAAGACAGACTGTATTGCGCTTGCAGTGGATGTCCATAAGCTTAGGGGGTGGGAGGGAGGGAGGGAGTCGTTCCATAATGACAGATAGCTAATAAAAACCACACAGCATGCTGTATAGAATCTACATTGTATCTAGCAACTTCCCAGTGCATTTTTAGGAACTTGTTCCAACTAGTATGGTTCTATTCACACCTCCCTTGCCAAACAGACATTTAAAAAAAAAAAGAAATAATATAAAAGGAATGCATCGCTGGTTGAGAGATGCATTCCATAAGAAATGGCCTTAAAAGCAAAGGAAAATCACTGGAACTGAGTAGGCACTGTTTTCACATGCCCTCTCCTCAGCTTCAGTACCCTTCACAGACTACTTTTGCAGATGAGTAGAAAAGTAACCTCAAGAGGGTAAACCCAACAAGACACTCTGATCAGATCGGATCTTTTGTTATCAGGCATCATTCCTGCCAGAGCACTGAAGTCTGACATGGTGGCATGTAGTCTGCCCTTGTTTTCCACTATGTCACCACTAAAGCTTAAAAAGTGGTATGTGATTCTCCACAGCAAAACAGAAAACACATTATATAAAGACAAGGATAGTGAAGGTGGCTGTTTCCAGCAATCTTTAAAATACTACTATAGAAAACTTTTCACCAATCCTTTATATAAAGACAACATTTACAGCTGTATCATAACCTAAATTAAAAAAAGCCATTTTGAAAGAACAAAATCGAGTTATTTGTCAATACTTACTCAGGACTATATATTATCCTAAGAAAAAATGTTTCAGGGCAGACAATGGCGTTAATAAATGAACTCATGAATTTACCACTCAAATGAAAATTTATACTGAATTCCTAGAAACCCCAACCCCATTGTGTACTACCTACTTTAGGAGAGGACTGGGAGTACGAACAAGATAACAACCTTCCAAATAGCAATCCTGCAGCCTTCAAAGGTTATTTCAACATAGTTAATAGAAATTACACAAACCCTATAACATCAGCCAAAAATACCAATGCTTGTGAAAACCAGCAGATGGGAAGGCAAGAAGTCCAAGTTCCAGAGTCTGAAATAATGCATTTAGGATTTACTCCAGGGAAAACTTTCTAAAGGTGTTTTTTTTTTTTGAGGTACGGTTATAAAAAAGGGGGTAGAGATGGCAAAACAAAACAGATTAGAGTCGGTAGTTTTCAGGTGGGTTTGGTGCAGGAGCAGAAAGTTTATTTAACTAAGACTCTGAAGAACATCTAGACTCTATTAACCTTAATAGACGGCAATAAAGTGGGGAAAATTAATTCAGTTTTCACAGTGCCAATTGCTTATTAGCAAAATTAACTGGGGAAATAGATGCACTGATGACATTTCCTATACTTGAAAACAGTGACTACATTACACTCAGTTGAATTCTTGTGAGTTTGGTATGGGGAATCTCATAGGAGTGACCCATGTTTCACAGATCTTCATAGTCACATCAGCACCAAACCAGTCAATAAAAGGAAAAGTTTTTATGACCAGCTGCTTGTACCAGCTCCAAGTATCAAAAGAAGTAAAGTTGTGCTGAATACTGTGTATGTTACAAGACCCCAGAATAGCCAAGCTATGCTGAATTTATTTTGGAAAATTGCTTTATTTAACATAACTGTTGTTAAAACAAAAAGTAGACATAAAGCAACATATGATCAAATATTTATGAAGAACGGATCCATTAGGACCACTGTTTACAAACTTTTTTACAGGGGGAGGTAAAACTCTGCTCTATGGATCTTCCTCTACCCTTCTGCCTGCCTGCAGCAGGCCAAAGGAAAACTCACTAATTACCCAGCGCATCCCTGATTCTACAAAGGTGCACAAAGCCAGTCACGCACATAAGCGGTCAAATCTCAAAATGAGGCTAGACAAGCAAACAGCTTGTGCTGACATCTGTTGATTCAGTATTGTATTTTTGTAAAACATTATTTGAGATGGAAAAAGTGACTGTATAGGACCCCAACTGAGAACTGTTGCCATTCAAGCTAGAACCATGTGCTATCCATTTAGTTTCTCCAGGTTTCACTCTCCTGCCAAATTCACTCAGCAGGAGAGCTAAAGAAACACATTCTCCTTGAAAGTAGCTGTTTTGGGCTTTGTCTAGTTGAAGTGTACTTTAAGTGTTAACAGTATTGTAAGTTTGGGAAAGAATCACAAAGGAGAAAAGGATATGTTTACAAATATGTAAAGGGTGAGTGTCAGGATGATGGAGCTAGGTTTTTTTCAGTGATGTCCAGTGATAGGACAAGGGGCAATGGGTGTAAACTGGAGCATAGGAGGTTCCATGTGAACATCAGGAGAAAATTCTTCACTGTGAGTGACAGAGCACTGGAACGGGTTGCCCAGGGAGGTTGTGGAGTCTCCTACGTTGGAGATATTCAAGGCCCGCCAGGACAAGTTCCTGTGTGATGTACTCTAGGTTACCCTGCTCTTGCAGGGGGGTTGGAGTAGATGATCTTCTGAGGTCCCTTCCAACCCTTGGGATTCTGTGATATGTAGGAGTAAAAAGATAGGTAACCATAGCAGAAGTTAAATAGGATTAAGCTAAGATCTAGGCAGGCTCAGATAGTTCAGCCCAAGGCTTGATGCTACAAGAGAGGTTCTACCGGTGAACACAGTTCTCAAGCACCATCAAGCCACCAAATTCCCCTGTAACAGTTTTGATGTTGTCATGTTTTAAGCAACCTTTTCTCACTGTGACTGTTGGAACCAGTGGATGTGGCCACCTGTACTTGTAACTGTATTTCTCAGTGGAAACTGCCACCTGGGATTCTGTCACTGGGGATAGAGCTTAATCTTGTTTTCGTAACAAGTGTTATTAAAAGCATGAAGAATGGGAAATCCTTTTTGTGAATAAGGGTTGAAATAAATGGCACACTCAAGTTACGCAAATTATTAACATGAAGACATTGTTCTCTACAGTGACAGTAAAATGAGAGCAGCATTTAGTCTTTTGCACATGAAGTCACAGGACTTCTCAGTCTGATCTTATCTGTTAATGGAGTACATAAATAAACAGCACAGATATTTACGTATGTATTTAAATACTAGCTATTGAAAAAAGAGAACACAACTCCCCTGACACCCCCCCAAAAAAAACCAAACCCCACAAAAAACAAACCAAAACGTGTTCATATCATCCATCAAACCAAGAGCCTGAAGCTAAGCACCTAATTAACCAGTTTCAAGAAGTCACCATAGCTGATACTCACTTCTATGAGTACTCCTGCTATTTAGGTCTCTACCTGCTGGGATTTATTTTTTTTTACTGTCCAAACTCTTTCTGAATACATTGAACATTAATTCAAGACTGCACAGCAACCACTTCTTAAACAACATCACAGCTACTCTTCAAATTACATTTTTAGTTGCCTGAGTGGGTGGAACAAGATAACGTCACCTGAAAGCAAATCACCTCCTTCCTTACATACAAAGGACAGTTTTGCCATGCTGTCCAGTGGAACAGTGCCATGAATAATAGTAACTAGAGTAGCTAACAATACACCATCTCTTTTGTAATTCAGAGTATGGTGAGTATAGTATCTTTCCCATAGTTCTACCCAAGAAATTATAAGCATATGTTTTGGGAGTGCCTGTTCATTCCAGTATTTTCAATACAAAATTACTGTTCTCCAGTCCCAATGTATATAAACTGGGAGGAAGCCAGAAGAGCTTAGGAAATATTTTCAACTGCATCAGCAGTTGAAATTTAATATTGCTGGGGACCAAAGAGCCTTCTAGCCCAATGTGTAATTCAGAGCGCTGCTGAACAATCAAACCCTAGCATCACTTCCCACAGCTTTAATTATAACAGAGACATACTTAAAAACAATATGGTTTCCTTTCAGAATCTTTATGTCTGGTACTGTGCACTAAGAAAAGAACAACTTTTGTACTTACGTAGTGTATTCATCATATGACCACTGCTCTCTTGGGATCTGTTATGACTGGCATCTTTGTCAGGGACATCCTGTTGTGGTATGGCAGACACAGTAGGCTGTGGCTGCAAATATGGCATTGACATCGGAAGAGAGGGCTTCGTTTCATCGTCTTCAGAATCACTAGAACTATTTTCACTACTTGAAGAGGATGAAGAACTTTTAGAGTCAGATGAACTGTCAGAGCTACTCAGCTGGTCCATGATACTGGCTTCTGCTTTTAGCTCTGCAAACAATATGATTTGTTTCTTAGTTAATATTTATCATAATTGAAATAGAAGGAGGGAAAAATAATAGAAAGCAAAAAATAAAAATCGACAGCAGAAGTCAGGTACATGCATTGTAGCAACTAAAAAAAAAAACAAACAACAAAACCAAACTAAAAAACAACCAACCCAAAGCCCTCCAGGACAAAGAAAAGGACACAAGCAAGCATCCAGCCTGTCATGTGGTTTTCTGCTCTTGTAGCTTGGGCATTTTCTCTCTTTCAAGCCAAGTGTTGAAAACTGTGAACCCAAATGCTAACTCCACATTCATTCCACAGGGTAGTGCATCCCACATAGCCTTTAATTTCTGCAACTAGCAAGACCTATGTGTTTTCCTTAGCACCCCAAAAAAGCCTTTCACTGACCAAAACTGGACTTACAGTCACACAGATAGGTCAGCTGTAAAGTGTCTGCACCCAAAATGCCTCCCAACAGTTCAACATTACAATCAATACACTTATTTGCACTATGTGACATTGTGCTCAAACCAAGTAAAGCAGGAAAGGAAACATCCACAGCTGACTATTTAGCTGGAATGTGAAGTACATGAGAAATAACTGGAAATTAAAAGATCAAAGTGACTCCATCAACTTGCATTCTTAATGAAATAACTCACCTGAGTACAATAATATTTAGGAGAGTGTGACTGGACATATTATGCTGAATAGTAATGCATTTTTGATACATACTAGCCAAAGTCCAACATACAGAGAAAGTTACTTTTTGCACAAAGGGTACACGTAATAATGTGCAAAATAGGGGTGTTGCTGAATTTAGAAGTCTGAAACAGACCACTGAATCACAGAGATGGAGATTTTATACAGCAACTTGAGGATTTACCCAGACTGCAAAAGTTTATCATTATACAAGATTGTAACCCAGCCATTTGTTGATATGGTCTTATAAGCACTTGGAATATTTCAGGAACAGCTTAGATATAGCAGACAGAAAGCAAGTAGGAGAGTGGCACATCTCAGTTCTGTATTGGGTAAAGTTGAAGAGCAGGTTGAAGATGAAAGTCACCAAGATGCCAGATGGCTCAAAGCTTAATCAAGAGAAGAAGGGAGAACAATAGAGTAAGTTTCAACACAAAGCTCCATTAAGCCTCCCAGTTCTGAGTTATCAAAGGCTACTGTAAAGGAAAGGTATTTAGGTAAGTCAGCCTTATCAAAGGCCAGTCTAAAGGAAAACAGTGTTCAGGAAAAGTGGCACCTGAAATAGTGCAGCTATGGCTACAAGGACAAACCAACTCAATGCCATGGAAGAAAGCACAGTAAAAGACCATATGGGCTGACTCAGACATAAGGAAAGAGAAGGGCAGGGGGGAAAATGGAAGCACCCTCCTGTTACTAAGCTTAAGGACAGAAAAGATGACAGAAAAGCTAAGGTAAATATTAGGATGCAGCTAACAGAATGATCAAGAAGTAATTTCAAATTTAATTCTAGAGAAGGCCAAATAAACAACTGATCTGCCCCACATCAGGAGTTGTAAGGTAACTGAAAGATACCACTCAAGTCCTATGCTATTTGATTTTCCCTGCTCATTGTGGGGCAGTTGGACAAAATGACCTTTGAAGGCTCCTTCTAACCCAAACTGTTCTATGATTCTAGGAGTTCCACTTCATCCCTGCTCTTACCAGTGTCTACTAAGAGAAAAAAATTAATTGAAAGGCTAATATAGAGAACTGAGGATTAAGACCTGTGCCTTTTATTTTGATGTAAGTTAATCTGACAGAATTTAAATTCTTTCAAGAGGTGAAAGACGGACTGTATTTATACTAGAGGACAAAGGTAGAGTGACCTTTCCCCCACCCAAGAAAACAAAGTTAGTAACAAGTTCAAGGTAGTGTACTTCAGCAGGAATAGTCAGTTACACAACCATGGGATGAAGAACAATTACGTAGGCAATGCTTAAGAGTCTGAGATTTACAGTGGATCACTACACACAGCTCTAGCACACCGTGCTGTTGTGGAAATGACAAGCATAACACGGGGACATGATACTATTTGGTCTGTGTGTATAACAATGACTGTAAGACAGTCACTCAACTCAGCACTGCTAAAACCTTGGCTGAAATAGTAAATGTATTTAGGCTTCATGAAGATTTTGGACACGTAGTAAGAGCTAAAGCAGACTGATAATGAATCAGGCATCTTGAAAACTTAACTTCTAAGGACAGAGCAAACCGGCTAGCATCATTTTGCCTAAAGAATGGGAAAGACACAGCAGCTTCTGAACACATGAAGGACTGCTCAAAAACAGCAAAGTAACCTTGTCTATGCTTGCATGATAAATATAAAAGTAGTAATGGGCTTACTGTCAGATTATTTATTAGGAAGAACATGAATGGTAAGGAGACCAAAGCCTTGAAAGCCCTGGAATGGATTGCCAGGGAGAATACAGGATCCATCATTACTGGAATGTTTCAAGAACAGGTTGAAAAATTACAACAGAAAATTAGGACAAGACGGACTAGATGACTTCAAAAGGTCCCTACCATCCCCATTGGTCAATTATTCTGCATTATTTAGTAGTACTCATAGTTGGACTGTCACTACACATGAGTTTGATACATGTTGGCAGCCACTTTGGTGACTTACAATATGTTTGACACCAGCACTCCCCCCAAAACAAGAGATCACCAAGAAAAAGCATCATTTTATTCCATGTGCTCAAGGGCTCCTTCATCTCTGCAACCTTAGATATTTTCTAGTACTGTTCTGTGGTATAGATTTCTGGTCAGCACTTAAGACCAAACTGGAAAAAAACCCCAACCCAAACCCTTCATAATAACATCTAAAAAAAAAAAGATATATATTTGTTTAAAGGAATTCAGAACATCTTAGGAGGCAGATGTCAATTCCAGTCAATGAAACTGCCAGCTGTCAGCATTTTTGTACCAAGTAATTACCACCTGCTGCCTTCCTGTCCTCCAGAAGGAAATAAGGCCTCCCATTAACTGAAATATGAGTGTCACACCAAACAAGAGACTCTCAAAACCACAGCACATAGCACTGTTCAAGGGCTGATTTGTGCAGGTTTTTAGGTGTCTTTTTCTTTAGAACCTCATCTTTCACAAGATCTTATCCAGTAATTTAAGAAGCATTTTGAGTTGCAGAGCACTGTAACTTATACATTGGCTGGATGCAGAGAAAGAATGGGGAGCAATGTCAAAAAGGAAACAACTTAGTTGGTTCCAGTGCCACAATACAACCAACTGTATACTTGATTAAAGTAGCAGCAAAAGACAGAATCAAGGACAGCAAGCAGTGGTACCCTGGGCATTATTAAGCCTAATGGTTCACCTTACTTTTTTTCCTTAGCAAGTTTCAAATACTCCCTTGTTATTACTTGAGCCAGAGTGGTCATTTCAATGTCAGGGTAATTAATCAGGTATTTAATCAATATCAGGGTGCTTAATCAGCTTCTACTGTGAACCTCTAATAAAAGACAAACAAACAAGCAAACCAACCCCGACACAACCCTTTGGCTCTAAAAACTAACTTCTAGTTAAGAGCAAAGTTCCTGAAACATATGCGTCAGTGAAGCTTACCTCGTTCAATATCATCCATGGGAGAAGATGGAAACATCTTTTCTTTTGGTGGAGAATTTTTAATATTGTTTGGAACCTTAGTTGCATTTCGCATTTGCTGCTGTTGCTGCTCTATGCGAGACTGGACTTTACTGCTTCCTTCAGCTCTGTGTGGAAAACCAAAAAATTTTTAATTACTACAAGACAGGATGCAAGGAAAGAGGCAAGAATACAGGGGACACAATACCTTAAGTGACGGAATTATTTGTTGTGGCTTTCTACAAAACATCATTAGATTTCTAGGTACATTATAAAACTAGCATGTAATTATATATACATATTAAAAATCGGGTTTTAATACAGTGCTAACAACTTTTTAACCCTTTGCCAGTTTATCTGCTTTTATACCTGGCTACCCAGGAACACATAATTCTGCTGGAGATGACTTACATGAACTCAGTAGCAGGAAAACAAACAAACAAAAAACAAACCACACACAAAACCACAACACATTCAAAAACTTGTTAATGGCTTGTTTTCCTTCTAACCATGTCACATAATTTATCTTTTTTTATTTCCTCATTTAGAAGTCAGAAGCCAGTGGGCAAGCTAGTTCCCAAACAATTTCCCCGCCAAAATCATCAGAAAATAGTTATCATCTATTTCAACAATGAGACTTTTAATTAAAACAAACAAATAAAACCATTCCCATTTCTTCTGCCAGTCAAGGCTCCATGCTGCGAAGTCAGTGTGCTAAGAAAGCAGACTTTTCATTCTATTGAATGAGGCCAGGTACTTTCTAAAAAACGATGTTTTCCTAAAAATAGGAACTGTTAGTTATGCATCTCAGTTTAGACTCATTAACAAACTGATTTTCACAATGACTAAAGCACAGTTGTTTCTCCTGTAAATCACCCACCTGGTTTTTTTCACAGTGATGTTGCTACTAAGTTTCTCTAGACGACATTCTCCAGTGTCATGGTTGAAAATTAAAATACATTCTTTCAGGTATGGCTTCTTTGAACCCTTGAACACAGTCACTGGTGGAGTTGAGCCCTATAAAATCAGAAGTCCAGTGAGTGTTATTGCTGTTGTCTGTCTTAGAAACAGCAATCCAACACAGTGATCCCAAATTCACTACAAGTGATCATTTTTAGCCTTTTAAAATGTTGCTGGTTAATTCAAATTAGACTCACAGTAGCCATGACCAAAAAGCAGCTGGTGTTTGACTGCAATGGGATTTCACCCAGCTTAGGTTAGTTGGAAACTGATGAAATGCTTATTTCCCAACGAGAACATGTTCACTGCAGGACTCCTTTTACCAAGAGGGGTTTCAGTTACCATATCAGCAAAGCAGTAAAGCATGGCAGGTAGTAAATTTTCCCTTTCCAGTCTTTCCTGCTTTAGAACTGCACTAGAGCAATAAATACCAAGGGGAAACTCATGCTGCCAACATCCACATGAAGCTTTTCTATGTACGCAACACTTCTGGGTCATCCTACAGCTTATTTCCAATGTGGTGAACACACTTAAAGTTACAGTGCAGCTGTTTAACTTTCAGGTCTTTGGTAATTTTACATTCCTATAGCAATTGCTTTTCAACTCTAAAAATCACACAAGCTGCTCTAAAACAGCACTGAAACTTCATATCCTTCTATATGCAGTAGATACCTGTGACAATAAAATAAGTCATTCCCTTAGGCCCATCACTCACCTCAATATTCGGCAGTGTTATTGTCACCTGTTCACCTTTGCCAACTTCAAGGTCTCCTTCACAGGACATATCAATAGATGCCGGCTTAAAGTCATCTAAATATAAACCCAAAGTGAATTATTTATAGCCTTTTCACAAATCTTATGAATGTAAATACCTTTTAATTGCAGTTGGAGTCTACTAAGTTAAAGCCTTTTTTGCTAGTGTATTATTGACCATTCCCCTGAGGAGATCATTCCATAAACCAGTAGAATCCAAAGTCAAGACGGTTTTCTCAGGATTCAGTGCATGTTAAAACATTTCAATTACAATCAGAAAAATGCTTTTATGTTTTAATGGATAAAGAGGCTGAACAAGCTGTGTTATATTTCAAAAGAGAAACCCTCGTGTGATTATTTTCAGAAATATCAATAAATAATTCTTGAAAATGTTTATCCCAAATATAGGAGGTGCAGACAAGTGACTGAAAGAACATCATTAAACTTCAATGTCCTTTTCTGATTTTACTGTAACATGCATGTCAGAAGGTGACCAAAACTTGGTTTCAGTATATTTAGTTTTGTCAAAAGGGAAATTACTTCCCAATTAAATATTAATTTCCTTTTTGTCTTTTTCAACATCTAAATAGTTGATTAAAATAAGTTTCAAACAAAAGAAGTCATCAACTTCTAGTCCTTTTAAAAAAATCTCAGACATTGAAAATGAGCACATGCTCAGACATCAGTGCTGTAGCCATGTAACATATCATTATCTATAGAAATGATATACCTACCACAAATGAATTTGGCAGCGCTACGGCTGAAAGGCCTGCCTGCACAGATCTAGGACATAGGACAGCATCGAGAGCCTCTGCAAGGCACATGGTAACACGTGGGTTTGAAGCCGTGGTTCCAGCAAATGCAAGCACACAACCAGCCTCACACCCCAGGGATGGCCAGTGCCCTGCCCTGCACACTGTGCTGGGGAGAGGCACCCCACTGCAGCTGAAGAGAGGCACGGGAGGCCCAGCACGTAAAGGGAACCCATTAGATGGCACGTTCCCCAGCCACAGCATGGCACGCGCTCCCTGCCTCGCAACTTGTCACGTCACCGGCTGCTGGTCACAGGCGGCTGAGCTCTGCTGTGGCTGGGCAGCTTCCCAGCTCACTAACCCTGCTGCAACACACAGGCCAGGCGGCACAGACCACAGCTGGGAACAGTGGCTCCAGCATGCACACCAACCAGGCGAGAAAACCAAGCTTCAGGAGCTGGTGGGCAGGACTATGCACGCAGCTTTGAGCTAAGATGTGAGTAACAGCCCCTGCTAACCTTGTTTACGGCAAAACCCCACACATCCTCTCACAGGGATAAGCGTAAAATAGTTCTAAAGTTTCTCATCAAATTAAACAATGTTTCCTTTAATATATAGCCACTGTGTGGTTGATACTTTAAAACTTAAGATACTCTTTCCAGTGTCAGTAAATGGACTTCTGATCTTTTAACCAGCAGACGTCTTTCCCTTCACTCATTTGCACAAAGTAAAACGGATATTTGTATATGTGTATTTGACAGAACTGATGAATGTGCCAGTTTCTATGTCTCATTTGTTGGAAAGGAAAAGAGATTTCAAAACAGATTTCAGAGTAAATCATCAAATTACAGGAGTCAGCAAGAAATCGTGAGGGTAGGAGGTACCAGACGTGGTTTTTAGTCCTCTTTAAAATTAGGGTAAATTTCAAGTTACAGCATTTGTTTAAATCCATTTATAGCTTCTGCTGGCTCCCTCTCCTCTCCTCCCTTTTCACAGTCACAGACAATCCTACTAAGTGCCGTTCCATTTGCTCACAGAAAGCACATTACCCATCTCACTGCACTGCATGAAAGCATACAGGACATTCTCCAAAGAACATATGCAAGACTGAATCTTGGGGATCAGTCTATAAATAATGAGACATCAAAACCAGAAGCAGCAGCCCTAAATTACCAGAACTATAATCCTGAGAGCATTTGTTTCCTAGCTACCCTTAGAATCTTTGAGCACACAACTCTCTAGATAGTAATTATGTACTCAGGGAGGGTATACCAGCTTTGTGATTAATGCTGCCTTTAACCTTTGATTGCTGAATTGTGCTTAACTTCTAAAAACTAAGCACAAGGAAAGAGAGAAAACCTGAAGGTTCAGCCTAGTTTTACTTTCAGCAGAACTACATCAAGACACCATTCTGGATGCAAAAGGTGTAAAAAGTGAAGCCGGTGCCCAGAAAGTAGCGAGCGGATGGGCAATGGCCGTACACCTCCCTGGGAGCGATGGAAACCTGATCTCCGGGACCAGCACTCCAGCTATTTCTCAGGCGTACCCCGGGACGAAGGCAGCCAACTCCTTCAGGCTTCCCAAGCCCTGCCTGTGCAGCTGACTGATATTTCAGCTCCCCTTAAACTACCGGCACGACCTGCCTCCTTGGACAGATAACCACAGACAACGCTCCGGTGCCTGCCCATGAGACAAGCCCGGAGCCGGGCCACAACGGACAGTTTTACCACGCTGCCTTTCTCCTTTCCCCCAGCACCATGCCGGTCCTTCCCTCACACCGATGCCCGGCAGGGCCTGCCCCGACCCACACCTTCCCCTCCCGGCCTGCGAGCAAGGCCACGCCAGGGCGCAGCACTTGCCCAACCAGCCTTCCCTTCCCTCAAAGGACCGCTGGGGCATGAGGAGGGGGCCCGGGTGCCTCCTCATGCCCCAGCAGTCCCCAAGGTGTTTCCCCGGGCCCACACTCACATCGGACTGTGTGGAAAGCGCAACGCGGCTGCTTCTCGAAGGTCTCGCCCAACTTCAACACCTGTCCCTTAGGGTCAAAAACCGACGGGACGGCTGTGTTCATCGCAGCGCCTCAGACCGCGCCTCACACCATGGCGAGCCCGAGCGGCCGCTGCCGCCGCTGCCGCCGCCGAACATCCCTCACACCGCCCGGGCACGCCCACGCACACCCCCCTCCCCACACACACACACTCACACACGCACACACACACGACGTGCAAAGCCCAGCCCACCAAGGCTGCGATAGGTCAGTGGCGGTGGAGCCCCGCCCCTCTCGGCACTGCGTCACGGGCAAGGTGGGTTTGGATTGGACAGAGAGGATGCCCTAGTGTAGATTTCCACCAGTAGAAGCGGCGGAGGCGCTGGCTCTCACGCGGATATGCAAATGACACCCTTCTCTGTCGGGGGAGCGCTGTGGTTGGTGGAAAGCGGCCGCGACCACACAGCTGTGAGGGGTGAAGGGGGGGAAGCAGTCGGGTTAGAGCCGGTGGGTTCGGTTTTCCAGTTCCACACCCTCCCTGTACTCCCCTGCCGAAGTGAGGGAGCCCCCGCGCGGCATGAGGCGGGTTGGCGGTGGGAGGGAAGCGGCTTCCATCAGGGCGTCCGTGACGGCCCCGTTCGTGGGGACTGAGGTCTTGGGGACTCCGCGACACCGGAGCGGAGGCCGTGGGGACACTGAGGTGACTCGGTGGGCGAGGGCGCCTCTCCTTCGCCGCCCTGCTGGCGGGCAGTGCCCGTCTGCCGCCACTTCCATCTCCCCACCCCTCCCTGCCCGCGGCTGAGGTGATGCCGGCGGCCCTCGGGCAGACCTCTCACGCTGCCCGGCCCGTGGGGCCTCTCTCGGGCGGTCCTGCTGGAGCCCTGCGCTGCCGGCAGAGCCGGTCCCGCTGCCCGCGGGCTCGAGAGGTGACGTGAGGGAGTGTGAGTGGGGCTTTCTCCATGTTTGTTTCCTTTCTCAGGAGAAGACCTGCTGCCCAGGCGCAGAGCGGAGCGTCAGCTGCCAGCCGCTGGTGCTGGAGGTTTAGTGGAAGTCGTGGCTTAAGGACCCCCCACATGTACCGAAGCAACTAAACAAGGGAAGAGGCTTAAATCGATGGTCTTGTGGGCTTCCCCCTGTTTCCGATGGCCAACGCGCCCAGCGCGGAGGTGGTAGCTGCCGACCCCCGGGTACTGGCCTTAGCTGCTCAGGTTACCGAGAGCAAAGAACAGGACATCCCCCTGCTACTTCTAAAGTTAAAGGGTAATTAACTCCTTTTCTGAAATAAAAGAATGAGGCAGTGGAGTATGGACATTCTTGTTTCCTTCTGCCTCCTTAAAGACAGATCTTTCTGAGTATTTCTGACAGGACTGTGAGGTTGATAATACTGCTTTTCCTGAGAGTATTCAGGAAAGTTGAGTGTTCAGCTGGGCGTTGGGTGGCATTTGGCTTTGTAACAATAAGGAGATGCTGGGGAGCAAATGGAGAGGAAGTCTTTTTCTCCTTCTTAGCTGTCATTGTGCTTACAAGACCACTGCTGATGTGAGCAAGGATGTTGCACATGATCAAATCACTTCTGCCAGTACTTCTGGTTGAGAGATGGAGTGCTTGTCAGTATTCAGTTTTTTAGTCTTAATATAGAAGCGCAATCACAAGCTCCTGTGTGACTCCCCCCTGTCTTTCCTTTTGCCACATAGCCACTGCTCATGGAAACTGTAGAAACAAGTTAGGTCCTGTTCTAAATTAGGATGTAATTATAAGGAAGCTATATGTTTCACAGTGGTTGTGGTTTCTTCTGGCATAATAAATTCATACAAATGGGCTATATCCCAGGTAATGTATGTTGTCCCAATTGTCATAGAAGCTAAAAAATGGATTGTAGCTGTAGGAGTGAAAAATGTTGGGGGAAAAGGTATGCTGCTGTTAGCTGTTTTAGAAGTACCTTAATCCTGGATATGTGTACACATAGATTTTTGGAAAAAAAAAAAAAAAAAAAGTCTTGCACATCAGAAGCTCATGCTCCTCTTTGTCTCTCTCCTGCTTTCTTCCTGCAGGAATTTTAAGTAGTGCTTCCTTGGGATCTGAAGAATCAACAAAAATTAAACAAGATATATACAGTTATGATCTTACTCAGTACTGCATGCTGGTCCTTAGACAAGACCACTTTCGGCTGAATGGAGGCTGGGCTACTGCTGCCCAGCTAGCAGAGATACTAAGGTAAAAAAATGCTAAAAAGCTTTCTTCTTGTATTCTTTCTGGCCTTTCATCTTGCTCTTTTTCTTTTCAAGCTGTAATACACTGGCTCCCATCCAGAACAAGGCTTGTTGTTCAGGAAAGGCCTGGGTTAAAGTGCAGGGAGCAGTCAAGAGCAGAGGGGTCATGCATAGCCTAATTGGTCCTGTTTAATTCATTCTCACTGTGTTTTATTGAGCTGGGTAAACTATTTGGTGGGAACACTTTTTGTGTTGGCTTTACCCTTTTTTGTGAACAGTGCTCATCAGTGTCACAGTTCTTACCCAGCCACTGCTAATTTTGAACTGCAGTTATTTTAAAGAGTTTGTTCACTTAGATTTCATCTTGCAAAAATCTTTGGTGTGATTAACTCAGAGCTTGGCTTCACTCTATTTAAATATGTATTTAGTAACCCTATTTTATTTATCTATTTACATTTTCAACATACAAGAGGACCCAGCTCACACAGACTAGACAGCTTGATGTAGTGATAGGGTGAGAATGGCATTATTAAATGTAATTCATAGCTAGTAAATAGGACAACTTTACTTAAATCCCCAATGATCCAGTCTCATTTTCAATGTCAGGAAAAATTTTCCCCAAGTTATGCTTAATTTTGGCTTAACTAGGGAGCAGAATTCTAAGGCATGAAGCAATTAGGCAACCAGCTCTTATTTATGCCGTATCTGCAGGATGAATTTTTAATGCCAGGAATTTGCAGTAAAAGATGCAAGATTTATCACCAGAGTTGTGTGATAGATACTTAAATAATCCCCCTTAAGCTATTTCAGTTTGCAGAGAAAACTGAAATTTATTTTTGTTATAAAAACGTCATTTTGTAGCTGGATGAATCTCACCTTCATGCCCAGAATTTGCTTTCTGAGCCCTTTGGTAAGCAAAGCATTACGTGTGCGCATTCACAAAAAGCTAACCAAGCCTGGGGAAGATGTCAGAAAGCAAAATTCATAAAAAGTTAGGAAGATTTTGTTTTTGTTACACTAGTAGCAGTGTGCAGTACAGAATTGAAAAGCTTCCCAGTTGTAAAACATGCAGTTTCTTGTAAAAAGCCTTCCAGAAATGACCAACACGTTTGCTGTGAGTAAAATTAGAGAACTGAGATCTGAGGAACTGATTTGTAGCCCATGTGTATTTTTCAGTTAGAGGAAAGTTCTATACAGACTCACGGAAATTTTTGTGGTAAGTAACATTTTTCAGTGCGTATTTTTATTACCTGATCTGCACCCCTGCATCATCAGCCTGCCTTTATCAGGCTTTTATCTACCTTATTGTTTTGCCTTTTTTTTTTCTCTTTATGACCATCAAAGCCCTTCCCTAGCACATGGAACAAGCCTGAACAGATCCTGTGAAGCTAAAAGAGAAAGTGCATTGGATATTTTTTAAACTTAGACATGCTGTAATAAGTAGCAATATACTTGCTGTTTCCAGCCTGCCACCGATTCCTCTTCCTTTTGAAGCAGCTACCTTGGAGCCAGTCACAGCAGTTAACCATTGTTCAGTGTTGAATTGACCCATGCCAGTGAAGCATTTATTCTCTGATGACGTGACATTCATTCAAAGCTGTTCAAACGGTATATCTGGACATATGAATTTGTTCTGAATTGAACCCTCAATTCGGGTTGATTTTTTTTCTTTTCTTTTTTTTTCTTTTTTCTTCTCCTTCCTCCTTTTCAGTCATTGTTGTGTAGGACTAGAGGCAAAAGAAGATCCTGAAGAATTTCACAAGAAATTTCTTCCTTCAGCTATAGACAGCCTGCTGGTTTTGGGAAGACGTCTGCAAGCACGATTTATCCGAGCAATCAAGGTATTTAAGTGTTGTAGTTAAAAGAGCAGAGAACCTCTGTAAACCTTCCAGGGTTTTTGTATAAGTAGGGTGTTATTCTAGGAACACTGTATTATGAACATTTATTTCCCAGAACTTACGGTATTTTTTTATGCTGTGGCGCTTTGGAACTGAAATAAGTCATTGTGGAGCATGTGGTCCATTACATGTGCAAAACTAGTTTGGTACTGTACGTTTGTTTAGAGAGTTTAGCTACTACTTTTCACTAGTTTTAAAGGTAGGAGGAAGAAATGCAATTATAAGAAGCATACTAGAATTAGAGTAGTACAATAGAGAAAAATGTCTCACAAAAGTCAGCACTACAGTCATGGTAGCATCTTTTTAACTTTGCATATAATTAGTTCAGTCTTTGTAAGGGCTCTGCTCCTACTGCTTTATTCAGCTTTATCAAAAGATGTTTAGGAATTCTTAAGATTTTAAACCAGATTTGCTGAAGTTTGCTTTGCCATACAATTTCCGCTACCAAGTTGGCAGAAAAATCCCACAATGCTTGTTGGTTCTGAACCTGCACTTTGGGAGCCCCAAAGGCAGACTTTGTGAATTTGTAGATTTGGACACTTTCTCACATTTCCTTCCCTCTTTGCAGAGAAGGGTTTTGCCCAGCGAGGTTCTCTTATCCTTTTGAAGCATTCTGAGTTGCAGAATCAGAAGGAGGGACAACAAAAAAAAACCCAACAAACAAAACCCACAAATAAGTTAAATAACCAACCTCATGGATTCTGATAGTTTCTTTTAATATCCCTGTTTCCCTGTATTGTCTCATTTCTTGGCTCACTGGTTTCTTGCACTTAGCCGAAGTTTTCCTATGGAGTATTGTGATGGACACCAGAACCACAACTAGTTCTCAGAAAAGTATCAGTAGAGTAACATATTTTCTGTTAATTCAGTACTTAGAATTGCATTTAGTGCTTAAGAAGGAAGCTTCCTGAAGAGCGTCCCAGGAGACTCAAGTCTTATCCGCAATATGTGATTTCCCCCACACTTTCTTATTATGTCTCATCCTGCCTGCTACTTGAGTCATGCTTGTGGGCAAAGATTTCTTTTGAATGCAAATACAGTCTACATTATAATTAGTACTTTGGCTTTTAAACCTTGTGGTCTCAGAGGTGACTGGGCACCCAGACTTGGTGCTTGCTCAGTGGAACTCTGGAAATCCCACTCTACCGGTAGAGATCTGTAGTTTATTCTGCCCTCGTTTGCTTTTTGTACAAGTCTTTGAAGTCAAGGGAAGTACTGAAATAGCTTTCAGAAACTGATGTGTTGCCAAAACACAGAACAGATAATATTACAGTTTATTACTCCGATTTTATATCTCTCATTGTCAGTAAGAACCAAATGCAAATTTAAATTGTGACTGATGGCTGGGACTTACAGAATGGATCTAGGAATAGGCTTTCCAGAGTTTCATTTGTGAGCCTGAATTAATGTGGGAGATATCAGGCCAAGTGCTCTGTGACATTAGTCAGCAGTGTAGTACTATCAAAAGCCCCTTTGCGGTCCCACACCCCAAAATTTCATAGTTCCACTGGGTCACACATGGAATACAGACTCTAGACTGTGCTCTTGTATGCGTGTTCATGTGCTCAAACCGGGACTCTTCCTGGTCATTTTTCCAGTCCAGTGTTATCACAGGCAAGCACATAACATAGTTGGTTTAGCAAACTGATCAAACTTAGCTTAACAGTGGTTTGATGTTTGCTCCCAGACTTCCAAGGAGGAGGTGCTTCTGAAGCCTCACCATGTCAGTTTATAGGAACCTTTTTTATTTTTACAATGTACTTGGCCACTTTGTGCTTTAATCTTAAATAAGTTTAAAGCTTAAATAATGTATCTCCCACTTTGTATTAAATCTGTGATACATTTCTACTAATCTGTTATTTGTTTTAGCCCTCCTATGCTATCAAATATTTTTTAAGGAGTAAACAAGACTTCTCTCTCCCTGTTATGGCTTTTTTCAGGAATGGATGGGTTTTTTTAATGTGATGTCTTCATTGATCTCAGGCCTTGAAAGAATCACAAGTTTGGGTTGGTTGGTTTTTTTGTTTTTTTTTTTTTTGACTGATTCCCACACTTTCACCAGCTTCATTTGGGAATTTGAAGAAGTTTTGGTCTCCAAATCCCTGAATCATACAAACCTTCCCACTGCATCACGCTGAAGTTCTCAGTGAAGATAACGTACACATGTTTTTACCTACTTGTGTTTTGTTTAGGATGAAGAAAAACAGGATTTTTTACGCTGGTTCCAAACAGTAACTGATGCCATCTGCTGGCTGCTCGGTGGGCATATTCAACTAGCAGCATGTGGTAAGGGAAAAGTAAACCCATAAAACACTTGGAAGTTTATTTATGGCAAATACAGGTATCAACAATTAATCTCAAGCTAATCCCCACCTAATTTTCTAAATTGAAGTGGATGTTAAATCAGTTTCTTACAGTAGTCCACTCAGCAGAAACAGCAAAACGGAAAATGGCTAAGGTCCACTAAAGGGAAATACTAAGGAGTTTCCCTTCTAGTGTTTCAGAAGCAGACATTAAAAGTGTTTTCCTGTAATTTTCCTTTGTAATTTTGCACCTTAAAAATAGTTTCCTGATAAGCTACAATTCATCTTTTTAGCTGTGTGTGGTTAACATACGCAGAAATTTGATCAGAATACGCTGCTGACCCTGAGAAGTAGAGAGAGTTGAAAACAGATTTATGAAGTTGTTACCACTATGGGAAATTTTACAGATACTTAACAAACTTCACTATACATTTCTGGCCAAAATAAGCTTTCGGTTCGACCAGTGTTAAGCACACTGATTTTAAAAAGCAGAATTTGGGGTTTTTTATGATACAGAGCAAAAACCTGAGGATCACAAGGTATGTAACTAACTAAAAACACGTGGCCAGAAAGATTACTAAATATGTATACAGTGATACACTGGAATTAAAAAGATGGTGCTGTAATGACATCAGTGGACTTACATGAAATAAGCCTGGTGTAACAAACTGTCAAGGTTGAGGTTCTTATCTTCTCTGTATATTGTTGCCACAGTGATAATTCCACTGTTGTAATAAGAAACTGGTACTCATGTAACATAAAAGGTTTTAAAGCTTTTATTCCCTTACAACACCAGTGCCTGAGGGATATCCAAAGGCAGAAAAAACAGGGCTTAACATGTTTTTTGGATGTTGAAGTAGTTTACTTATGCCTGTACATTTCACTGTAAAAATTATAAAAGAGGGATTTTGTTCCAGAAACAGTATCTGACTTTACTTGCTGTGACTTATGTTCCATAATAAAGTTTGTTTGGTTTATGGTATTTTCAAGTCTGGTTCTGATTGAGTGATTTCTTGTTTACTTGGTTTTGGTTTGTTTTGCTTTTGCAGTACTGCAAAATGATCACTTCCTGCAGTTGTTAATAACAGATGATGTTGAAACAGCAATTCTGATGATGTCTGTTTTACACAATATTTTGAAGGTCAATAGGTTAGTAGTTTTTATATCATTGTTTTCTTCTGAATTTTAAATTTAAAACTCAGCTCATTACTGTTTGGTAAAATAGAATTTCTTCATGTACAAGAATTGTGTTGTTTTTTTTCCTTAGTCTTTGTTGTGGAAACAGAAAAAAGAAAATAAAAGCTATTTTCTTTATTTTGTTAAATTGAGGGAATGAGAATCAGTTGATTGAAACAGTAGTACTGCCTGCCTGCATCAGATTGCTGGGCCAGCTAGCTGGGTATGTGGGCTTGTTGAATGCCTGACTTATCTAAGATCAAGTCACTGTTAAAAAGCTCATAATTTTAATTAACACTTCAATTCTGCCCCATCTGCCCCTCCCCTTTTTCTTCTTTAAAGTTCTGTCTTGCTTCAGGTTGATAAAGAGACCCTTCACTCTGTTTTGGATGAACTTGTTTATAAGCTTTCAGCTACCACCAATCCTGTCATAGGAAATGCTGCTACAAAACTGCTATTGGTGGTGGCAAAATTTTGCAAGCAGCTTGTGAAGTTACTCACAACTCGCTACAAAGGTTTGTAAACATGCATGCCACCAATAACTTGACTGCTTACATTCACTGTGAAAATATAAAGATGGAGGTTTCACATCTCATATGGGATAAGTACCCCCTACGTATGGAAACTGCAGTGCCATGTTGGTGTTTTTTAATCCCTTCTGTTCATTTTCATTGTAGTTTAAGGTGCCACACCTCTTCCTGTTTCCTAGATTTATTGTCTTCTGTGTATTGAGGACTCTGCATGCGGCAACTTGTCTCTTAAAGCTGCTGTTCATCACTTCCAACTTGATGGTCTTCTTTCTGTGTGATGTTCTGCATCTTTTTTTCCTGTGCAGGTTGGATATTGAGAGATCCTAGTAGCGGGGTGCCTGTTACTGCCCCAGTAAGAGCCAGGCATCAGACATCTGCCAATGTGCTAGGGCTCACTAATCCAGAACCATCAAAATTTTACTTAAAGCCAACTTCTGTTACAGGTCTGCCAATCTGATAGGTTCTGTTCTGTTACTGACATGATACCTGTGGTTTTATATCCAAGACTGGAATAAACTTTTCCAGTAATTCACAAAATGGGTTTATTATTTTGTCTCAATGCCTTTAGATGAGGAGGTATATCAGCATGCATATAATTTGCTCCATGTTATTCATTAGTTAATGAGGTGTCCCATTTACTGTTTCTGTCTCTAGCCTAGCAGGGAGATCCAGGAAATCCCTTTGTCCTTTGTCATGCCCTTGGAGACTAAAAAAGAGGCTTTGATGTTTGGCAGGTCTTTTATATTCTGGATGATATTAACGGTCAAAACTACTTGTTAGGAGCCTCAGGTCTTTGGGGACAAGGACAGTGAGAAGTGGGTATGCTAGACAAAAAGGTCAAATTCCCTTTTTTTACGTTTGTATTGACTATTTATGAGGCAGTACCAGCCAGATAAACTTCTGGACCAGACTGGCAGCTTTCCCACCTTTTGGCTACAGAATTGAGGGAGGAGAGCTTCCTATTGGTATGAAATTAAGTATAAGGTGCGTAAATCTAGCATCACATTGCAGCTTCACAAGAAGCTAATGCGATAATCTGATCATTGCAACTCTAGCACGCTGGCTGGTCTTAAGAAAGGCACATCTCCATCAGAGGCTTATGCTTTATTTTGCTGTAGAATCACAAAATGCCACAGTCATTTAGAGACAATCTCACTTCTGTGAACGTATCCTTTTCCCATTAAGGAAAACAAAAGAAAAATCCAATATTTTTTTTTCTTTTTTTTTTTCTTTTAAAGTTAGAGTCCTTATGTTAGTCTTCACTCAAGCTTTGGAATCCTTTGGATAGCTTGAGGAGTAGCAGCAACAAAGAAAGCATTACAGCTTTTTCACCAGCTGGCTATCTCCATTGAAGTAACTTGGCTTTACAGTGGCTCGGAGCTGTTGGCAGTGTGAGGTACTTCAGTGCAAGCTTTCAGTGGCAGCCTGCTGGAGGTGAGGACATCACCTGACTCACATCTCCAAGACTAGCGTGGTCTTTATAGACCCGGGAGGGCCTGGTCGTTATGTCTGTGTGTGTTGACACAGCTGAGAGGCACACTTGAGGTCTCTCTGTCAGTAGCTGGAAGCTCCGTATGACTGTACTTCTGTACAGAAACTGACATGGTTGCATCAGACCCATAGGACTTCTGCCTTGTGTAGCCAGGCTGTGCAGAGCTCAGGCAGCAGTAGGGCATCCCCTGACTCCATTTGAAGTCTCACCTGTTTCTCTTCTGAAGAAGTTAAACTATAGTTGTCTTTCCAAAATGATGCATGTATGATAAACAGAGGTACCATTTCTGTTTGTATGAAGGACTTCGTGCTCCATGTCCAGATCCATGCATATAATTATACACGTGTGTTGAAGTTGTCCAGTTTATGCATATGTAACTGGAAAAGTTGAATCTGCAGTTCTTTCAGGAGGCTATCCAAACGTGTCTACTTCCTGCTCCCTTTCCTTTTACATCCAGCTCCCTATAGAACACTCAGCCTCTGGGATTTGTGTGATACAAAGCTAAAAAGCACATGTTACTGTCTTTCTGTATCCTCTGTGCAGCACAGGGAGCATGCATGTGTGTGTATTGTGGGGGGAGCACAAATGCCTTTTTTAGCTACTGCAAACCTAAAAAGCTGTTTTGTCTCAGGGATTGGATGCACATGTATTCACAGACTGAGCTGTGCAGATAAGACATCAAAGAATTCCAGTTATAAATAAATTTTTATTATGAAAAATACAAAAGCAGTGCTAATAAAACCCAGCACTTGCATGGTATTTTGCATCCTTGTAGAACCTTAAAATGACTTACTGATAAGACTCCGAAAGTACACTGATAATGTAGCTGCCAGTTATGTAGGTATGAGAGATAGGGCCGTGGACACACAAAACTATGGGCATGGCATTATACTTTTCTGTGACGGTTGGAGCACCAGATATTCATTGATAATAAACTGCATTGAAACACAAAGATGACTGAGTGACGGTGTTCAGCTCTACTGTTCCTGTGCATGTAGAATCAGATTTGATTTTATTTACTTGAAAATTGTTGATTTGAAATCCTGAAAAATTCACCCTAGCAGTATCACATGCTGCTTCTCTCTCTTTCTTAGGATTAAAAGGGCTTTTAAGTAAACAGTGGACTGGCAAAGGATTTGACAGGGATCTAAGTCAACTTCTGGATCTGCTGTACTTGGAACAATCCAATGGAAAAGGAGAAATGCAGGTGCTGAAGTTTAATGAGACTTTTATATGTGAAATCCTAGTTACATGTGATTTATGTATGTTTAGAATGGATTTACTCTATCACTTTGACACTTTTCAAAGCCTAGTTTATTTTTTCACTATATTAATGGGCTTTAAAATTTCATAGCTAATCTTTTCCCCCTTCCATCATTTTAGAAGGCATCAAGAAACTGCCCAACAATTAAGGGACAGCCACTTAAGAGATTGACTTTCTGTTGCAGATTCATTGTAGATTTCTATACAACCGTAGATGGGGGTGTGCAGAGGGGGGCAAGTATGGATTATTTTTGTTAAATAGAGACCAAAAATAATTGTCTGCTTTTTTCACATCAGTGTTACAAATTTAGATCTCTCAATTCTAGGCAGCGTTCACATAGAATCAAGTCATGTAGAGGAAATGCTCAGTAAGAAGAGCTGGGGTGTATTCTACAAACCTCTTCACAAAATTTTACATGCAGGTTTCTCAGAGATAATGCCTTAAAGGCAGTCAGGTTATAGCTGTAGAGACCTGCTTTCATCTTCAACAGAGCAGTGTGTTCTGTGGTTTTGTTGGGGTTTTGTTTGCTTCTTTGCTTGAGGGTTTTGTTTGTTGTGGGTTCTTTAAGAAATCCATTTAAAAATAGAATTGATTTTTTTTTTATCATGCTGCAAATGTAACATTTTTCTTCTGCTCATTCTCCAAACTTGTCTTTCTGCCCTCTCTAGAGTAGGTATTTTGATTGAATCACCATTTGAAATATCAAGTGTTTCAGGTGTTTTAAATACAAATTTCTAACATTGGTTAATGCAGCTAATATGTATTTTATGTTTGTGATGTAGATTTGTTTCCCACAGAGAGCATCAATCCAGATGATCAGATTAGGTGCCTTTAGAGGAATACAGGGTTCAGGACAGCAACTGTTTTATAAGACCTTATGTTCCTCAAGCTGTTAAAAATACTAAATTTTGATGCATTTGAAAACTGTTTTTTTTTTTTTTTTTTTGCCAAATGCTGCAATTGTTCCAAATATGTAAGCATTAATAGTGGTTTTTCTATGCAGAGAAAATAATCTACCAATCGCTTTATTGATTTCAGAGGCAGCATCAAGCAGCTTGTATAATCCAGGCTATGTGGAGGGGATTTCAGACAAGAAAAAGGCTGAAAAAACTACCCCAAGCTGTGACTACTTTACAAAGAAGCTTCAGGTAAACAGTATGGTTCTGTAAAAAGCACTAAAGAGAAGGATTAGTAGGAAGGTTTGGTTTAGTTTTTCTCAGGTTACAGAGTAAGAGGAAGAATTTGGCTCATGTAATCCAATGGCCTTTTTGAAATAGGGCTTATCAAGAGTTTGTCCTCTTGAAGATGCCTTTTTCCAGTCAGCTGTTATTTCTGAAACATAAAGGTAACACAATGCCAATATGAGCTGTTTCACTACAGATTCTTGTAGCAGAAATATCCAAAGTGTGCTTTTCCAGCAGGACCAAACTGCCACTTCTGGTGCCAAAGGCTCCAACTGTCCCTTCCCCAGCTGCCAAACTTCTCTGTGAAAAAAACTTGTGTCTATGTTGCTTTTATATGTTTTTTGTGTATTTCTGGCACATGGAAAACTAAAAGCTTGCCACACTGTAGCATGGGATTGCACTAAACAGAGTTAGAGGACGGTGTACTGGTAGTGGAATAGTTAACTTGTTCACAGTTAACTTGACACAAAATTCCACCATAAATTGAATGTGGAGCAGTCCTGGAGTTTCCAATCTGCTATGCCAGAGTGCTGCAGAAACCAAAGCCCATAGTGCTTGCTTAGTACAGTGCTTGCAAGACCTTGTTCCTCATTAATATTTGAAATCTCTTGACTCTCGGAAGTGGGGTCATTTCAGTGACCTAGAAATAGTATCATCTGACTTGGAGCACCAGAGAAGAATGAAGCTACATAAATGATTCTTGTCTTACTCGAAGCAGGATTTCAGCAGTAATGTTAGCACATGTTAGGCCAACTCCTGAGAAATGTAGTGTGAATTTAACATAGGTCAAGGGTTCTAAATCAAGTTCAGATTCCATAGCAGGTTTTTTCAATCTTTTTTTGCATATATTGAGCATTACCATGTCAAAGCTAGATCCTAGAAATCAATTAGTCAAATCACATTGCATTATGATCAAGGTGTTAGGGAGCAGACAGTTATGATTTGTTTTCTAGACTGGCATTAAGAAGATACTGGACTATATAGGATGTCACCTTTAAATTCTGGAAGGTTTGCAGGGACAAGCATTGTGCCTATGGAAGGCCACTACCTACTCCAGCTTTTGTGCTGGAATACCAAGGGTAACGTCCTTGTCACTCCTTTCTACTGCACCATACACTTTGAGGCAGTATTCCTGCCCTCATCAGGCACCTTGCAAGCCTGCAGTGAAAAATCAGAGCCCAGAAAACTTGGATGATGGGCTAAGACATACCATGGTGAAGCAGAAGGGAAAGGGTGGTGAGGCTGTTGGCAGTCAACAAGCTACTTGACTTTCCTGTGTCATGTTTCCAGCATGCCTCTTAAGTAATTCTTGAGTAATTTAAATGGACTTTTGAATATGTTTGTTTAATATCGAGAGGAATAGAAATGTATTCATATCCTTGCAGCTGTGTGTTTATGGCTCAGTCAGTCCCAGTGTACTGAGTAAATATAGTAACTGTACCACTCTATAGTGTTGGATTTTTGTCTGTCTAGGTCAAAGCTGCAGTTAGTGTTATGCTGAAAAATAGTGTAAGTATGACTTCAGAAAAGCTTTCAAGAGATTCTTTTAAGAGTGAGGGTTTGATTATATTCACAGATTTATTTTAGAAGAAGTGTGGTTAAATATTCCTGAGGTTGAAACTCCAGACTTGGCTCACCTGCAGCTGCAGTGGAACATCTTAAACTCTGCATGTTATGTTTTAGAGGGATGATGAGAGGGAGGCTGATCTGTGCCATGAACTACTGAAGGGAGCTTGGATCTTATTCTCTGTGTGTTTTGCTTCTGTTCAGAGGCATTTCTCTGTCACAGTGTGGTCTTGTGCAAACAAATATGTCTTATTATTGGGAGGAACAGAGAATGAAGAATAGCATGTGTTTTGCAGATTTCACAGGAAAGAGCCAGTATCAAAGAAACATTTGAATACCTGACAGACACTATTGGTAGTTTCACAGATGCACATCTGAGAAGTTCATGAAACATTCTTGTAGTTTCCTGCCTAGTGGAGCTGATAAAAATGTCTAGGGGAAATTATTAATGTAATCAAGGGTCCTGTCTGAGCCTGTGACATCATTCCACTTGGAAGTGTAATATGTGCCTCTCTGGATTAAAAATGCAAAGATTTACAGCTCTGATTCACACAGTTGTGTTGGCTAAAATTTCCTGAAGAAATTTCTGTTCTGATGTAATCACATGTATCATGATTTGTCTTGGTAGGTAGCTGTGTGGGCACACTTCAAGTCGGCATTACTGTCCTAAAAGAATTATGGTCTCTCAGTTTGTGGTGGAGGTTCTTTTTTCAGTTAGGGCCAGAACTTTAAATCCAGATGATCAATTTTACACAATAGCTTCCACCTCACTTTTCCCCACCTAGTTGCAGAGACTGAGGAGAAAGTATGGTTGGGGAAAATTATAACTCAATTTATGTTATTGATGGGGAACTTGCAACTCAGTAGTACTGTGAGTCTAAAGGTATGTGATATGCAGCAATACCAAATTTGTTGGACATTAGTTCTAGTCTAGCCTTTTTAATCCTTTCTGGCACCCCTTAGGCTTGTGCTCTGTCCATCTATCCTCTTTCCTAGTGCTTCAGGTGCTCCTTTCGTAGTCTGTGCAAGAATGCTAGAGGAAAGCGGAACTCAGGGCTGTGGGCCCAGTGGGGTTACTCAGGCCTTGAGTGGGCAAGTGATTTTGCTGCAACAGGAGAAGAGTAGGGGTCACATAGAATCATAGAATGATAGAATAGTTAGGGTTGGAAAGGGCCTTAAGATCAGCAAGTTCCAGCCCCCTGCCATGGGCAGGGACACCTTGCTCTAAACCATATCACCCAAGGCTTCATCCATACTTACCTTATTGTGGGGTAAACTTGTAAAGTTTTAAACATGAAGCCTCTAGTGAGGTCAGGTCCATTGGGATGAGAAGGGGTAGTGAAGGGGAGTCCTGGCTCACAGATCCTCATATGTCACTGAGATGGTGTTGGTCTTGGTAATTATGGGTACCAATACACCAGTATAGTTAGTATTAACATAGTGGTCTATATATTAATATGTTAGCATATATATAATTGATATACAGGTAATTTACACACTCTAGGGACAGTTACAGAATTTTCAGTTGTCTCATCCATGAAACATCTGCTGGGGCTTTCCCCATGGCAATCACAGTGAGGCATCATCCTAACATCAAATTGCAACAAGTAGTACAGAGCAGGAAGAAATCACAAGAAAATTCTTTCCTGGCGTTCTGTTAACAAAGTTGATGGAGAAAATGCATCAGTCTGTCTTTCCTGGAGAAAAAAAAATCCCTCCAAACTGAAGAAGTGAGCCTTAGCAGCAACATTCTGATCTACCCTTGCAGTCAGTACAAAAATCATAGTATGATTATGGAAAGCAGGTGCCATGCGTGCTGATGGATGCATTCGAAAAGGTACTGGGGGACATGAATAATGTTGCTTTACCTCTTCCTCAGATGGTGGAATCAAAATTGTTGTTCTATTTTGTGCTGGCTGTGAATGTCCCACATGGAACATCATTCCCTTCAGGGTCCTTAGAACTTTATCTTAAGTAAAAGTATATCCTCTGGTTTGATACAAGGTTTTATGACTGGCTCAGAGTTTTTCATGACTGTAGATAGTGTGGTGATTTGTTAGCTTGCAGGTTATTTCTCATCGTTCGGTTTGGTCCTGCAGCCAACAGCTGGGATGGCAGATTATTTTGTGGATTTCCTCCCTCGATGCTGGACCATTTAACACAAAGAGAAAGAGAGATTCTTTTAAGGAACGTACAACTTCAGCTAATTTTAATGTATTTCTGTATTGCAGAGCCAAACGGGAACGGGAGCTGCAGCATTTGAAAAAGCAGAAGGAAGATGAGGCTCTAAAACTGCAAATGCAACTTCAGAGACAGAGGGCCATGAGACTGTTCCATGAACGACAGCTGGCCTTACTGAAAATAATCCATGCCAGTATGATTTATATTTAAACTATATTAGAAGATTAAGCTGTCTCTGTCTCCTTAAGAACAGTTTCTTCAAATTATTTCCTAATCTTGGGTGTATGTTTGCACTGTAGTCTTACTGTCTCTTCTCCTGATCCAATTACCTGACAGAGAACATGCTAATTCTGCAAGGGCTCAGTAACTACTGATGAAGATCTGCTGCCTTCAAAACAGTGCAGGAGAAAGGGAGACCAAATTTTCTTGGGTTACAAAGCTTCATTGCAGCTACAAGTCTCTGAGACATAGAATCATAGAATAATTAGGGTTGGAAAGAACCTTAAGATCATCCGTTCGAACCCCCCTGCCCTGGGCAGGGACACCTCACACTAAACCATCTCACCCAAGGCTCTGTCCAACCCAGCCTTAAACACTGCCAGTTTTTTTAGTACTATCTAGTTTAAATAGAGTAGAGTAAAAATGTAACTCGTTAAGAGATCCCAACCCACAGTCTCATAACTGTAGTTTTGTTACATTTGTAGGTCAGGTAGGTAAGTACATGGAGGAAATGGAGGGGAAATCAGCATTAACTATCCAGAGATTCTGGCGAGGATATAGAGCAAGAAGAAATTTCCATCAACAGAGACAATCTCTTAAGGAGTATAAAGCAGCTGTTGTCATCCAGAGAGCAGTAAGTATATGCTTTGTTCTAACATTCTATAGAACTGAGTGGATTATTGCAGTGCCTCAGAAAGCTCTCTTTATTCTCTTACTGTTGATGTAGCCATAATTTATTAAAAAATTATTCAAAGGTTGACAGTCTAGAGCCATAGATTGCTTTGACATGTTACACCCTGCATAGATTACAAAGCCTAATGCAGACTTGTAACTAAAATATAAGAGCTGCCACTATGAAATGTAAGGTTGGAATTTCACCATTGTACAGCTGAGTCAGTAGTTTATTATGAGTGTTCTTACTATTTCACATTCATGCTGACCATTGTATGTTGTCTTTTCAGCATCACAGCTACACTTATTCTTTAACAGATACAGGACTGGAACATTTTTTTTTCATTAATTGATAAGACTGTGTGTCTGTGATTATCATATTCTCATATATTCTTTACAAAGGCTTGTAAATTCCTGGAAAAACGAAGAAGGAGGAGATCTCTTTCTCCTTGGAAAGATCCCAAGGGACTGACTGATGAGCAGAGACTAGCTTTGCAGCAGAAGGTGGATGACTACATCAAATTGCATCCGGTCTGTTTCTTAGTCATTTCATAATCTACATTAATGATGCAACATTAAATACTGTAGAGATGAAATATTGTCAGCTTCATAAATTCAAGATAATACATATGAGGTATGCATAAATTAACCCTGCTTGTTTGACAGCAAGACACTGACATATTGGGGATTTTAACCATTAATCTAATAAAAAGGGTCAAAGGAAACTGTAATTGGAAAATTTATATACTTGATGATGGATAGCTTTGGAAAGAGCTGCAGAGGAAGCAAAGTTACTGAGTTAACAATTAAGAATAGGATTTGCATTCCTTGTTTAGACATTATTCTGCCCCCAAAAGATTTAAAGTAACCAGCTCCTAATGGTAATAAACTGTTATATTCTCCTCCAGGCTTCCCAAATGTCAGAAGAAAGGAGTAAAGAATTACATATGCAGGCCCAGGAAAAGCTGGCACAGTTCCTGCTGAGGAGCAGGCTGGATCAGAGAGCAGCTCAGCGAAGAGAGACATTGCTGGTTCAGGTCAACACTGATGTGGAGCTACTAATGAGTATGTGACTGTTCTGGTCATTATTTTAATTACCATTTGGATTAAACTAATTTAGAAAGAAAATTAGAGGGAATGGTGGTAAAGCCTCATTTCAAAACTGAAATGTCTTTCTTCCTGTGCCATATGCCTTATCTTGATATTTAGACTTTGTTAGAGGTTACCAAAGCGTTGCTACATGCTAGGTGTACACACCTGCTTTTCAAGGAACATCATCTTCTTCTGCTAAAAGTCTCTCTCTGATATGTTCACATGAAAAGCAATGGCCCTGTAAAAGGCATTAAAATTTCTAAGGAGGAGATCTCACACAAGCCTTCTGTTCTACATTTGTTTTGCTTTGGTCTGTCTTGTAAGCAAGCCACTGGTTGAAGCACTCTCACCTTTTCCAGATAAAGAGGGAAGTCTTTGAACTATGAATTCCTAGTCATGTTTTCATTTTCTCCAGCGTGGCTTTGTTTGAAGCAGAATTCACTCTTGTGCTATCTTAATTCCAGACAAGTAGCCCAGAGTGAGAGTGAAAATAGCAAACTGCAGCCACCAGAGAGCACTCAAGCCAGACAAAATTCAGCAAGTTACTGAATTCCATTATTTTAGTTTGTCATGTGCTGTCACTGGAGCTCATTGCTCCCTGACCAGGCAAATCAGCAACATACTCTTACACTGGGCTGGGTCCCTCAGGCAAGGAGTTCACTGCGCCAGAGCAGTGGAAGCACTCTGCTGATGTCACCTTGCGCCAGGAGTGCTGATCCAGCAGTAGTGGCCAAGAGGTCCTCTTTCTCTTAAGTCATACGTTCACAAGAAGTCACTTTGGTGGATGTCACCACTGCACATGAATGGAAGTCCTGCTTTTTCTTCCTTCTTCTCCCTCCCCCATTATGTATTTATTTTCTCAGATTAGCTTTAATTTGGTTCACTTTTCCGATCAGGTTTATAATGCAGCTGTAAAATTGTGATGCTAGCATAGGGAAAGGGGTGATCTAGAACAGTGGGAAAGTGGGAGGGTAGTGCTGCTTCTTTTTTTTTGTTTGAAATATTCTTAAGATCACAAACAAAAAAATCTTATTTTTACAGATGCTCCAGGGTTAGCAGAGACCACAGAAAAAGATCTTGATGTCTTTATGAGTCGATCAGTCCCTGTAGCTACCAAAGCAAGACAGTCACACAACGCTATGCTGAAATACACTCGCTGGCCATGGTGGAAGAAGCTTGGAGATGAGTTTATGGAGGATGATGTCATTCCTGATGATGATCTAAATGCAGAACTGGGAACTCTATTTATTGGTGGAAGGAAATCCTGTTAGGTAACAGGCAGAAGAATAATTTACTCAACCAGATGCGTGGCTTGCACCATGCACTCACTTGCGTGAGATTTTAAGGAAGAAAAATATCTGAATTCTTAGACGAAGCACTGACAAAGACCAAAGCTTTATTTTAGTGCATTTGACTTCTCTTATTAAGAATCTTATTATACATCAATAATTAGATCCTATTTATTATGCTGTGGTAAATAGGATTTATATGCTGCAGTTGTAAATGATGATATTTTGTAATTTGTATAATTTTAAAAGTAAATTCATAAGCTTTGGCTTTTTAGTTCTTATTCACACTCGGATGCATAAGGAATGATGCCATTGTAAAAGCCTGGACTTTTATAGCAAGGCCTTTGATAAGGTGGTGTGATTTGAGATGAAGATGGGTTCAAAACAGACCAAGACACCAACAAGAAGTCAAGCAGTGAAAAACTGAACATGAGCCAGCTTCAGTGTGAGCTCACAGCCCAGAAAGCCAATCGTATCTTGGGCTGCAACAAAAGGAGCGTGACCAGCAGGTCAAAGGGGGTGATCCTGCCCCTCTACTCTGCTCTTGTGGGACCTCACTTGGAGTATTGTGTGCAGTTCTGGTGTCCTCAACATAAAAAGGACATGGAACTGTTGGAACAAGTCCAGAGGAGGGCGACCAGGATGATCAGGGGACTGGAGCACCTCCCGTATAAAGACAGGCTGAGAAAGTTGGGGCTGTTCAGCCTGGAGAAGAGAAGGCTGCATGGAGACCTCATAGCAGCCCTCCAGTATCTGAAGGGTGCCTGTAAGGATGCTGGGGAGGGACTCTTCATTAGGGACTGTAGTGATAGGACAAGGGGTGATGGGTTCAAACTTAAACAGGGGAAGTTTAGATTGGATATAAGGAAGAAGTTCTTTCCTGTTAGGGTGGGGAGGCACTGGAATGGGTTGCCCAGGGAAGTTGTGAATGCTCCATCCCTGGTGGTGTTCAAGGCCAGGTTGGACAGAGCCTTGGGTGACATGGTTTAGTGTGAAGTGTCCCTGCCCACGGCAAGGGGGATTGGAACTTGATGATCTTAAGATCCTTTCCAGCCCTAACTATTCTATGATTCTATGAAGCAAGCACTAGGCAGGCTGGGTGTTAACAGCAGGGTAGAATGGCTAACTCTGGTTATCACAGGCAAAGTTTGGCCTGAGGAGCCTCCATCAGCCTCTTGATAGCTACAAGGGAAAAAGCAAGGGAAGGAAAAAAATCCATATTGTTGGATTATATGTGTTTTAGCATAGAATCATGTCCCACGCCTTCCACTAGACCAGGTTGCTCCAAGCCCCATCCAACCTGGCCTTGAATACTGCCAGGGATGGGGCAGCCACAGCTTCTCTGGGCAGCCTGTGTCAGTGCCCACCACTCTCATAATGAAGCATTTCTTCCTAATATATCTAATATATTATTTACATTATCTAATCTCTAAATACCTTCTTTCAGTTTAAGGCTATTCCCCCTTGTTCTGTCACTACATGCCCTTGTAAAAAGTCCCTCTCCAGCTTTCTTGTAGGCCCCCTTTAGATACTGGAAGCTGCTCTAAGATCTCCGTGGAGCCTTCTCCAGGCTGAACAACCCATCTCCTTCAGCCTGCCTTCATAGGAGAAGTGCCCCAGCCCTCTAATCATCTTCATGGCCCTTCTCTGTCCTCATTCCAACAGGCTCCTGTCCTTCTTGTGCTGGGGCCCCAGAGCTGGATGCTGTACTCCAGGTGGGGTCTCACAACAGCACAGTAGCAGGATACCAGTACACCAGAAAACCCTACAGTTAAGGGCCAAAGGCTGCTTGCTGCTTACCAAAGTGCCCAGAAAGAAAGGAGAAGGCAAGGCTGCAGCTGCACGATTGGTACATGTGCTGCTTTTGAGGTGAGAGGCTCTCGGAGTCTGAAAAATTAGACTTCACCTCACTGCAGAGGAGGAGGAAGCACAGTGATTTCTGCTGGTTACATGTGGGCAGCAATACTTGTTCAGCATGTTTGTTTTCCACTCTCTCTAGAAGGTTTTGAGTTTTAATTTTAGCAGAAAAGAATGGAAAACAAATAAATAGAACTAGCAGGCAGAAGCCCAAGCACATTTAGATGCATCTGATAAATTGAAATTAATAACTGGACAGCTGCCAAGAGGAAGAGCTGTGCTCTTGTTAATTTTTTTTAATAGAGCTGTGATTTGGAAGGCACCAAATTGGCTCTCAGTTCCTTTCTTGGGGAGGTGACTCCTGGAACAAGCCATTAAGTACGTGCCAGGATACTCGCACGTGCCTGTGAAGTCACATGCTGCTCTGCACAGTCCTGCTATTAGTTTTCATCCATGCCCATAACAAGCTCTACAACCATGAGAGTGGAGGGGCGAGGGGCAGTCCCCAAGTGCTCCAGGGTTGGATGGAAGCTGCCCAGCTCTGGCACTGGAAAAAGCCCAACATCTCTGGATGAGCTGCAGCAAGCTGGCTGTTACCTTGCAAATACATGAGTCCGCTGCGTGTCCCCTCGTAGTGCCCTGTGCTGAGCAGCCATCAAACCAAACTATTTTGAGAGCAACCTCTCCTGATATGTTTGTTCCTAACCACCCTCATTATAACAGCTCTTTAGCACAGGAGGATGTTGACAGACGTGCTTCGCTAAATGTATTTTATATAAAGAGGTGAGACCCCTGGCCACTGTTAAATACCAAGTGAATTATAGAGCCATCTTGCTGAAAAGTCATTTATTGTAATGGTCTCTGCCACTCACTGCCATTGGAGTGGATAATGAACTTCCCCTTTGGAATATGCAATTCATTTGATAATGGGTGTTTTTAAGTGAACATGGAGCCTGGTGAAAGGTGCAGTCTTGCTGGAGGAATTCAGGTTGCTGGGTTGTTTATTACCAGCCCAGCAGCACAAATTTTGCAGCTGCCATAGTAAATAAAAATGCCTCTTCTTATATTGTGCACGTCACCAGGAGATCTCAGTCATTTAAACTGGAAGAGGGGTGATTTAGATTAGATAGTAGAAGGAAATTGTTTACTGTGAGGGTGGTGAGCCACTGTCACAGGTTGCCTGGAGAAGCTGTGGCTGCCCTGTCCTTGACAATGCTCAAGGCTAGGATGGACAGGGCTTGTAGCAACCTTGTCTGGTGGAAGGTGTCCCTGCCCCATGGCACGGGGTTTGGAACTAGGTGGTCTTTAAGGTCCCTTCCAACCCAAACCAGCCTATGGTTCTGTGATCTTCATTTTGCAGACCATGGAAACTGAGGTAAGAAAGCCATGAGGGAACATGCCTTAGCCATATATAATTTTATAACCTGTCACTTGCTCCTGTTACTGTCTCAGGCAAAGCAAGACAGAAAGGAGTCACTGCAGCATGCCAGGGCAGAGCTGGAAAATGCTCTCAGATGCTAGTTACTCTAGCCAACTTGGAGCCTGGGCCAAGCAAAAGAGGTCCCTGAGCAAATCTGCTGTCCCACTTCTCTCACAGGTGAACAAGATTTGGCACAGCTTGGCTCATTCTCCTTTGGGGTCTTCCTGCTGGCAATTTATTTCACTGCAACTCCTTTTTGGGATAAAATACCCCTGCCTGAATAATGAGAACAGATGTATACAGCTAAACAGAAGCCACCTTCAGCCCACTACCAGGTGAGCAGTCCCATCTGGGTCACACAATCATGCAAAAAAAGACTGCAGGAGAGGCCCAGAGCTAAGATGGGTCCAGCCCTGCTCCCACCTGTCTGCTTGCCATAGATCACAAGCACACCCAGAAAGCTGGGAACTGTTACTCAGGCACAAACACGCAACACAGGTCTGGGCTCTGCCACTGTTGCTGGTGGAGTGACAAATGTGGGGGGCATGCTGTGACATGAGAAGGGGCAGCAGTGAAGCCGGAGCTATGAAGGCCATGAAGCTCAGGTCATTAAATATTGATGTCATCTAAGCTGGCCTGTGGGGGCGATTTAGCTGAATTGCAGGTTTCTTTTGCTCTGATAAATTGGACCAATTTGTCATGTGGTTTTGTTTCTTCCCTCTCTTAAGTAAAGCTATATGGGAGCGTTGTTGCTGCAGCTTCAGCAGCAGCAAACAATCTGAAAAACAAAACGCTCTGATGGATATGGATAAAAAAAGAAGGGACAATGACTGTTCTTCTGCTGAAGGTGCCACCGGAGTCATGGAGCAGGAAAAAGGCAGCAAAGGAACAATAAAAAAATCACTCTGCCCTTCTGGAGCTGGAGAAAAAGCAGTGTGCCCTGCTGGCTCCTGCAATGGAGGAAAATTCCTGTTTATGCAGGCAGATACTTTTTTTTTTTTTTTCCTCAGCTTTAACTGTAACTGGACTCTGCAAACAGGATGCTCATCTCCAGTAGAGACACAGGCATGCGCTTGAGACTATGCTGCTAAGTCCAAGGGCGTCTCCTGGCTGTAACAGGAGCTCTGAGCTGTCCTATCTGCTGACAGGAGATAGCTCCGATGCTGTTTCACTGCTCCTCTCCCAGTCTTTTACTGCTGATTTCCATGGAAGCAGAAACTGGCACTGACATCTGCTCTCCACCACAGATTATCACATACATCAAGTACAAGGAGAAATTAAAGCTTTCTACAAGTGAAACTGGGGCTACTATAAGCATGCATCACAAAAGGAGGCAGTTCTTTGTAAAGGGCGCTGCAAAGATTATTGCAATAGGTCTCAAGGTTCTTTGTTGCCAGTAACGCTGGGTCATCCTCCGGGCATCCTTGTGCACAGTGAAAAACTTGTTAATAAAGAGATTGTTTACTAAACAGATGATATAAGGGCCTAAATTTACCAAGAGCAATTAAAGCATGGGTGCCCCCTGGCCATTCCCCCCTGCCCTCCCTGAAGGCAGGGATGGAGATGCTCCCACTGCCTTCCAAGGACAGGATGCAACGTCCAGAACTGCTGTCAGCATACCACAGCCCTGGCAATTCTTTCCAGCTGCTGGAGGACTCCTCTGTGACACTGAGCACATTCTATCTCTGCCTCTGTCCTTTCCTCTCTCAGATGAGGCTTACTGAGGAGGCTTTGTGTGGTGCCTTTGTAATTTAAGAGCCTCAGTGGAGGATGTTGTGTGAGCCCAGAGCCACTGAAATCCCTTTCTACAAAGGTGAAATGGGAGTTTGACAGGCCCCAGAAAGAAAACATTTGTATTATCAGATGCTGGACACATAGAAAAAGCTTAGGGTTGCAATGCTGTTTCTTTCTTTCTGAATTCAGTTTTTCTCTGCAGAATTTAGTTCTTCTGTTTTTAATTATGTCCTCAAATAGAAGCAATCTCTTTACCTCCTT